CATAATTTTCTATTTTGATAAGAATGTTTCAATTTGTATTGCAGAGATTTTTTTAGCATTATGTAAGTTAGGCTATTCTAAAAAGTTGACCATCCTTGTTCATCCCCGGTGTAGCTCTATTTTGCTTCTCACTCCCTGTTTATCTTGAGAGGTATATACCTTTTTGTTAGATTTACTGGGCTAAAACAAAGCGTTTGAACGAAAGGGCAATTTCGACAGAGACGAAATTTTTTTGTATTTAGTTTACATAATTTCCTTAGGGGGCACTCTGCTTGTAGTAATTGAATTTTCGCCAACAGCTTATAGGAGTATTTTTGTTTTCACTTCTTCATTTTCTCACACACCCTGGTTAAATACCAATGATTCAGTGCTGCTACCCTTCTTGATTTCTAGTTTTTTTTCACAATTAATGCATCGCTCAGTATGACAGTTCCCAGTGAATTCAGTGAAGGAACTGTTGGAGAAGGCTGTGTGTAGCGTTGGAGACGTACGTGTACAAATTTACCATTGGACGTAGCCTCTTTATGGAACGCTCCAACAATCCCCGTTGTTCTTTGCAATATTCTCTTCACAAAATTTACCGGCAAATACCATTACACACGATGCTCAAAAAGTGCCGGTGACCAAGCGGTTTGAACCAAACGACTAACCAGCACTTTAATTTAGGCAGCTTTTTTTGCGCAAAGAAAGCCTTTCCGAGGTTTCCCATCTTACCGTATTTTTGCGCTGCGCAAATACTCTCAGCTCGTTGAACAACTTTCTCCAATGGTTCGATTAAAGGAACATGACCCATTGTATCAGGTACGCTACGAGTTGGTTCATTTTCTTAAGACCTGAAATTGCAGATAATTGGAGTACTTTTCAGTTTCTTATCCTCGGTGGTTGTTCTCAGTGCCGTAATTTCTATTTGCTTCAAGTATACATAAATCTTATGCTAATTAAATGGAATTACTAACTCTGTCATTTCCAACTTTTGTATTTTTTGGCAACTTTTAGGAAGCAGTAAGCAAACTGAATGCTTTACAAAGCAATGCAGTAACATTACAGAAGCTTCGAAAAAAAAGAGAACTGATGCAAGAGGTGAATGTGCCTGAAACACTCTTATATCTCAAGCTGCTTGGTATTAAGGTTGTTTTATTCTTAGATTTTAATAACTATTATTTTTTTTAATGTGGTTTTCGCGTTTAGAGACTAATTTTCAATCATACTTTTATATCCGCCGCTTTCTACAGTCCTCTAAGTGAATACTTTTTTATAAAGTGAGAATTTTACTTCTGAACTGAAATTTAAGCCTGAAGACATCGACAGGTTGAAACCAATTCATGTTAGCGGCACTAAGGGTAAAGGGTCCACTTGTGCTTTTGTTGAATGCATTCTAAGGCAATCAGGGTTTAAAACTGGATTTTACAGGTTTGTAATCAAAGTATTTTCGCTGTAGCCATTTTGTAGGTATACGAGGTTTTAAAAACAGCAACTGTACTTAGCTTTTCTACCTACAACATTTACAGTTCTCCACATTTGATGCAAGTACGAGAAAGGATCAAGATTAATGGGTCATCACTTACAGAAAGTGCGTTTGCCAGTTACTTCACGGATGTTTACAACCAACTTAGGATAAATGTAAGTTATGCTTATTTAGTTGGAGAAGTAGTATTTTAATGTATGGATTAGCTGAAAAAAATACGCTCCACTATGCCGTGCATTTCTGTTTACTTGTCTTCTTGCGAAATTCGCTAGTTTAAATTGCCATCTATTGCCCAATTAGCTTATTAAAAGTTGAAAATCTTCAGAATTATGAGTTTGGTTTCAGAATGGTATAGATGGGACAATGCCTGCATATTTCAAGTTCTTAACATTGATGGCATTTTACGTATTTATCAGGGAAAAAGTTGATGTTGCTGTTATTGAAGTTGGTATTGGTGGCGAGTACGATTGTACAAATATAATTAGGCATTCTTTTTATTGAGTGACAAAGTTTTCAAGAGATATATTTGCTAATTGCTTGATTTCAATAGTATTCTTTACTTGTTAAGCTAGTTTTGCTCTTACGGTAAACACAGTAACTTCGTATTCTTCTTGCCGCACTAAGGTGTTTTTTCGTGCAAATTAAAAGTTTATAAATTTAAATTGGTAACGACACGATTCCCTTAGTCGTTTTTATTTTTTAGAAATCCTGTTGTGTGTGGTGTTACGACACTAGATTTTGACCATACTCGCTTGTTAGGTTCAACGCTAAAAGAGATCGCATGGCAGAAAGGAGGGATTTTCAAACCCAATTCGGTTGCAGTTGTTGCGGATCAGAGCGAGGAAACTTTGGAAGTACTTCTTTCTAGAGCTACAGAGAAAAAAGTGCGTTTCCTATCAAATCTCCGGATTTTGTTTTATTTGACACTTATCATATGCAGACTTTAGTGTTTTAAGAACATTATTTGCTTAGTGTGAACTGCACGTTGTTCCTCCGTTAAGCGAATACACTTGGCCTGCCAAACCTGTTAAAATAGGCATTGGTGGAATGCATCAAAACTGGAACGTTTCTCTTGCCCTTCAGGTCGCTAGGTTGTGGTTGGAAAGAACTGGAAACAGCAGTAAGTTTTTCAGTCTTCAACGGAACTTTTTGGATTATGTACTCTGTGATTCAGAGTTTTTGGCGATGCAGTTTCTTATGTGATTGTATACAAGTTGTAAAATGTTCATAGGATTTGTGTGATACAGGTAGTGAGTTACAATCGAGTTGCCGTTCCGGACTGAATCTTAACGGTTTCGCTCCTCCGGCCAGCTTTATCAATGGCTTACGTCTTTGCAGTTGGCCGGGAAGAAGTCAAGTGCTGAAACTCGACAATATAACTTACTTTATAGATGGTGCACACACACCGAAGAGTCTTCAAGTATATTTCGCAGTCTACTGATACTGCACATCGCTAGTGATTTCTTTGGGAAAAATTAGAGTTATTGAAAGACAGTTGTACTTTCAGCATATCGATGATTTGATTTTTTTAGCTTCTTTTTTGTTTTCTCGTTTTAGTTCTTTGTTTTAAAAAATTCTTTTAGTTTTTTTTTTTTGGTTTTAACACTTTGACTATTTCATAAGTGTTCTTTTTAAGTGCTGTCTGGAGTGGTATTTATCAGGGCGTAACAAGACAGACCCAGTGTTTAGAATACTGATATTTCACTGTACTGCTGATAGAACTCCTGAGTCTCTACTGCCTCCTTTAAAGGTCCAAATTTTTTTTAATAAGTTAAAGATTAAAGGTAGATTAAATTTAGCAGTGCTGCTTGAAAGGTTAGGCAGCCAGGAATTAAAGACTTTTTTGACTTTCTTTATTTTTTGTGTTTTTTTTTATTTACATTGTCGGATCAAAGTAACATACCGAATCAGTCAGAAATACGTGTGATATTCAGTTCTGTGAAGGGAGTTCTGATGTTATGATTTTTGATTTTGAATCTAAGAAGATATTTATCAGTTACTATAGAATTCCTTATCAAAAGTTGCTTTTTGGCATTTTACACTTAACTTCAGGACTGTGGTTTTGATGCAGCCTTTTTCTGTCCTGCTTGTGTGCACCGAACTGTAGATGAAAGTTCAGACCAAACCAATTATAATCAAGGCTGGGCAGAACAAATGCTGAAAGTTGAGCATAATGCGGTTGTCTGGAATGATTTTGCTAAGGTTTATTGCACTATTAGAATATCTTTTTCATATGAATAATGCATATATGTGTAGTCAAAATTTACAGGACTCCTACACAGAAGAGTTTGGATGCATCTCAGAAGTTTTTGATAAAATACAGTTGTTGAGGAAAGCGCACGATGAGGAGATCGAAGTCTTGATTACTGGTAGTTTGCACTTAGTTGGTGGCTGCCTCTTAGTCTTGGATACTCTTCGTGGAGAATCTTGCTGTGATTAGTAATTGTAGTCTACCATACAGCTGAAGCTGTGTTTGCGTTACTGGAATCACTTCCTTGTTCTTCTCATTCCATATTCGCTTATTATTGTGCATGCTTTGTTAGATTTTAAAAATGTTATTTCTTTAAACTATAATGCTTGACCCTTTTGAAGTACTGGTTACTTCCTGCGCACTAATCGTTAATTTTGACAGAATTCTGATGAACGTTTCTCTATAGTTCCATTCTAATGAATAGCCGGACTGTTGTCATATTTTATGAATTGGATTTCGTGGTTGTTGGGATGATGGATCTTAAACCTCTAGATGTAAAACAGGGGTAAGGTTTCATCATTGTGTATAAAAAAGTGGGTTGCTGAAAGGGACATGAGCAGGTCTACTGATCTGTCAACAGCTTTTTTACATTTCTCCGTTATTGCTGCTCACTTAAAACAGTTAACTGATCAGCTGTAAAGCCACGTCGCGAATAAGGATAAAGAGGCAAGTGTTCGTTGTCAAATTAAGCTAGTTTTTTAAAATATAAACTGGTGGAGAGTGCTGCGTTTTCTTTGTTTTTTCCTGCTGTCTGTAATTGGTAAGGACATGAAAAACATTTCTAGATTAATTGACAGTTTATATGAGGATATTTATAGGAAGTCTTCTGCTTCTTATTTTTGGATAGATGGCGATATAAAGTCGGGGGAGTTTGATTAGCACTTAATTGCCGTCAGACAGGCAGTTTTGAAGATAGTTGTTGTCTTTAAGTCGCTTTTCGGACAGTCTTGCTCTCGCGGCTTTAAGGAGTTCGGAAATTTGGCGAAAGACAGTTGGAATTCTTTACTTGGTATTATAAAAATTTTAGGAGGAGAAAGGTCGGTATTATTTTTCTCGGATGGTTTTTTGAAATTTTTTGCGTCTTTTCTGCGGTCTGCCAATTAATTGGCATACCCCTGTTGTATAAGTTAATCGTTCAAGCGATTATCAATTGGTTATAGCGTTGGAGCAAGCCGCTTTTATTGACTGTTTTAGAGCTGAATTTCTTTGGTAATGAAGTTTGAATTCTGATGTTGGAAGGAGTATTAACTGTATTTTCTTGTTGAAAATTCTTAAGTTATTTTACGTTAGCCTGTTGCATAAATTAAGTGCCGAGGTTTTATGTTGTACCAGTTTATTTGAGCGCTTCTTCAGTACTGACGATTTCAAGATGTTACTGATGATTAAGAACGAATAAATATTTTGAACTTGGAGAATGGTTCGTCTCGAATGTTATGGAGACTTGGTTGCAAGCCAACTGAGCAAGGTGATTATAACATGGTCAGCACGGTGGGTTTCAAATTGAAAGGCTGTTGAAATGAAATATGAAGTAGGTAATTTTGAACCATCTTTCAGTCGTTTAAAAAGTCACAGTTATCTTTCACTGGTTAAAATATGATGTGTACCAAACAGAAGCTTAATTGCATTTTCTTCATATGATTTTGGAAAAGTGTTTTCCAAGAAAATGTTGGGAACTTTAACTGCATGTATTTTTCATATCGTTTTGCTCTACCGCTTTTATGTATTCCGGTTTTTAGTAAAGTTTGCTAAGCTTACACGATTGTACCTTTAGTTTACTGATGAAAATGGGAGTCTTGATAGAGCATTTATCAAATGTCTGATCCACTAAGGTTTTTTTACCCTCATTACAGATTTTGTTGACACTTCGGAAAAGCTCAACTTTTTCAGGAGAAGTATACATTTGTTGAGTCCTGTTTGTTAGTTCAAAGGTTTTAGTAATATATTGTAGGAGAGTTTTGTTCACACGGTTTTAAATAGAAAGCTCCGGTAAAGGCTTCTAATTGAGAATGATTTTTTGTCAGTAAAGTCTAAAGGAAAGTATAAGAAGCGTTCTTTTATAAAATTTCTTCTCGTACTCCGAGACATATTTCTGAGTCACAAAATTTATACGATGATTGGGTACAGCAGCGAAATTCGGCTGCTTTCCAATCAACGATTGATGCTTTTAGACATAACAAGAAAAATAATTTTGAAACGGATAAGAAACATGATAATACGATACGGAAAATGCATTGAGATTACCAAAGTCTTTTTTTTTTCTTGAAACAGAGAAATCGGCTATTCTATTTTTTTTAACACGGCTGGCCAGAATTCTACTGAATACTCTATTGTTGTGCACATTTGGATTCTGTCATCTCTTTTTAGTTGTTAAACAGCAAATTGTTCGCGGTGTCAGCAATATGGTTGATGCCTCTGAACGTAGTTTCAACATTTCAAAAAATTTCTTTATTGGTTGCTCAGAACTTACAGCTCATTCTTGAGGTAGAGGGACCGAGGCAATACTTAACACGAAATAGACAAGTGAAGGTTGTACATTCTGTTATCTGACCAAAAGATTTGATTTTGCTGTAAAAAAATTTTTTATCTTTTCTTCTCCAGTTTTGTCGTTTTCTACTTACCATTTATTTTACAACGCGTTATCAAGTAATTTTTTTTTGAAAAATTATCTGTCTGACTTAATGTATTGACTAAAAAATGTAGCACTAAAATTATTTTGCAGCAGCTAATAATTATGTTATAATAACTGTTTTAGGTTCTGACCAGCAGTTTGTTTTAAGTTTTATACCATTCTTCGGCAGCCCATTTTTTATTTATCTAATTCTGTAAGCAAAATTATCATATTTGTGCAGTAATGTTTCAAGTTGAAACTGAGAGAACTGTAGCTTTTTTTATTCTCAATATTATTCGCTCTCCAGAAACAATGGTCTAGCTTCTGACGATACTATGGTACAAGGAAGGCTACGCATTGCCTGCTTCGCCAAACTCCTTTTTAAGAAGTTCAACCTTTACTTACCTTCCCTTTACCATCGTTATCTAGAACTGAATATCACTCTACAAGAACGATTATATAAATTGATTTTTAACCAGAAACAAAGAATTTGAAATAGATAAATGTCATTATCGTTTCGTTAACTTTTCAAACATTTTGTTTGGCACTGTGTCATGTAAAAAGTATTTGCGGATAACGTTAAAACAGGAAAGGTTTTTCTAGCGTGGGGTGAAAAAGTTAATAGTGGTTTTCTTAAAACGGAGAAGTGAATCTGCAGTCGTCATTTTCGGTCTCTAAAACTCAAGAACAGTAATTTATGATAATGGCACCAGATCTGCTGAGTATTTCGCAGATGATGGGAAGGTTACCAGTCAAATGTTGTCGATTTTTAATTTTAATCTGTTTCGCTCACTGATTTTAATAGCTCTAAAAGCTAATGGCATAGCATGTTTTCACTTCAAAGAGTGTGTCTGATAATTTATATTAATGCATCCGTTTCCTGTCGAAATGGTCTTCATTTTGCGACTTTAGGATTTTTTCGATTAACTGGTAATTAATCAGATTTTTAATTAGTTATTAATTGAGTCGACTTCAAGTTGTCGGTAGCTATTTTAATGTTTTTTATAAGAAAATAAAAACTACTTTAAATTGAACCGTACAGAATTTTAATTATTTGTTGTTATTGTAATATTTGGGGAGAACAAGTGGGTTCACTGTCTACTATACAACTGGAAATATCAGAACCTATACTGCACCCGTTTAAAGCCGATTTACGGTTCTGACATTCTGTAAAAACTAGTAACTGCTGTCCGTCAAATGCAATGGTTATGACGTTTACAAGTTCCGGTATCCGTTTGTTGTCTTAATCAACAATACAGTTATTCCGTTTTAATTGTGGATCTGTCTTCGGTGTACGGATGAACGAGGAAGAATGAACTATGAAAAAAATCTGAAGCTACTATTTGGTTACATAAAAAAGTAAAACAACTTTCTTCTTTCTTAATTTCACTTATGGGTGTGTCAGTAGTTTTTTCAACGGTATACTTCCATATATATACAT